AGCAAAGGCAGTCAAATTTGATGAGATCTTAACGGTAACTTGTCTCAGCAGTATGAACAGGATCACCTAAAATAAAGCCAAGATGATATGACATATGCTAGCTTCATTTTTTAATCTTCATGCAGCATCCACTTGATAGTATTTTTTTTCTTCTTGAGAAGCTGCTTTAGCTTCTAACAATGTCGCTTCAGTAGTCTGATCGTGTCATGCGCGTTAAGGCAGCATTTTTGATTTTCCAGTAGTTGAAATCAGTTGAGTGTAATTGACGAGACTAAAAGGGCGGTTAGGAAGGGCCTACTCCATGTTGGAGGCAGCTTCTTAAATCTGTAACTAAGGTAACCTACATTTGTGGATATAACTTCTTTGACAAATCCTTAGAAGCGATTTGTGAAACGTAGCTCATGTGCGTCTACTGTTCGACCATTTTGCAATCAACTTTACAGCATTGCCTGCGAATCCATCTGCAGTCACTCTGAGGTAATTTTTGGTCGGTCTACTGAGGCGACTTCCCTTTTAGATTTCCAGAAAAAAAGAAAGCCATCCTCCCATGCCGGCAATAAGACAACTGTTATTATGCATGAGAACATCAATACTATCGTGCCAATTTCATCCTTTGTCAAGGGAAAACACCGTGTTTCCTGTTCTGGGGAATTTTCTGAGTTAAACCGCTTCACTATCAACGAAAATGAAACCATGGAAAGGTACAGAGCTGTATGTGCACCTAGTCTTGACTTTTAGCTCCAAGATCATGCCTCCGTTACCATTCACTACTTGCTTCCGCTCTGAAAATCCATATTTTGAAAAAAAGCAAAGAGAATAAGAAATTACCTCAATTAGTCATTAGCAATACTAATGAGAAGTTTCTTTAATGTCGTTTAACTTTTCTCTATCTTCTAGGGATTAGCTGCTGTAAGAGCTCAAGCTCGACCAAATAATTTTGCAGATTAACTCCATAATAAGTCACCTATTTATCGAATAGACCTTGTATATCATCAAACATATTATGAATTGAGATCCGCGGTTTCATGGGCACCCGGCTTACCGCCGCAAAAGGGGCACTGAAAAAAAAA